CAGTGAAATCGTGCTTGAAAGGGTTTTTGTAGGGGGCAGCTTTAGAACCCCCATGACACCAACTTAAATTTACAGATATTGATAGAAAGGTCTCAGCCTCACCTTTCCTGCTAAATAATGAGTATTATTCTTCTGAGAATCAATACACTGGAAGCTTTCTAGATAATAATTCTCCATTTCTTGAGTTGCTCATAATGTGGAGATATCTATATATAGATATCTCCAGACTTCAAAAATCCATTTTAAAGAAACACTGTTCCTTAAATGCAGAGCATTATAAAGGCTTTATGTGTGCAGCCCACTACAAGAAAAATTATTAGTTTGCACATGGGTAGACATATAACACCAACCTTTGCAATATAACATTCCCAGGGCCAGAATTAATCTCCATGTATTTCTGCATTATTATTGCTTGAACTAGCCCATATTTTGCTTAGGTCTTAAAACAGAAAACTTAATAATGAAAAGTAAATACACAAGCCTCAGCTGTTTCAGAAGATACTGTAACATTTTCCCATAGGAAAACACAAGGGTTTGGTGTTTTTTAAGTCTACGGTCCATTTCTCCTGACCACGTAAGGTTATAGAATAAAACATATTCATTCAATGAAGCCAAGACTACGTACCATTTCCATAAACCTTAACTCATTAATCTTCATCTCAAGTGTTCTCCTCATCACCTTATCCCACTTAGATCTTACCCACTTTTAGTTTGTGTTTCCTCCTTCCTGTCACACTTTTGTTTCAGGTTTCCAGCTCAATAAAGTTAACTCGTAATAGTTATCTACACAGACATTGCTTTAGAGGAGGGAAATGTGAGGGCCTTGACCAAGAATGATGCTGTTTTATATAATTGCTTTTTTCCAAAATCTGGTGCTATTTGCAGTGTATAAAAACATTCATCGCCATAAAAGAAGTGAGAAAAAAGACACGATTTTGATCAATACTAATTCTGATTAAGTTCCATTACAGCACTTGATATTTTCAGCAAGTCTGGAAATACAGAAATTCAGGATTGCTAAGAGTCTTTAACAGCATAACAGGACACTGTTGACTTGGGTGGGGACTATTCTATCTACTTTTTTATTTGCCTTATACGGCTATAATAAGGTAATGAAATGCATTAACTTTATTCTGTAATTAATCTTATTACCAAAGCTTCAGTAGTGCGGTTTTATTGCTTATTTATTTTAGGCTTTTGCTTCTCTTCTTTTTAACTTGGCAGAAGGAAAGTTGGTTTTATCAAAATGTTTATAGATTGGGAAAAAACTCAAACAACCAATAAAAAAACCCCAAGTGTTTAAGATCATTGTATGTAAAATTAGGGTCAACAGGATGCCCTCAAAGTACACCCAGGGAGCTGGTGCAGGCAAAGAGCAGTACTCATTTATACTCTCATATGGACATATCAGGGACAGTTGTAGAGAGCAAATTTTTTCAAGCTGCAGAAAATGAGGTTCATGAAAACATACATTCACTAATCACTACATGTATAAATGAGCAGGGTTGTTATTAATGGTTCCTTCTCCTCTAGAGGCCCATAATACAGCATTAAAATATGAATGGGACAGATGCAGACACCTAATCTTGATGGGTCTAGGATCCAGAACTGAACTTCTGTTCATTGCACCTATTTCTTTTTATCACTGCATGGTTTATAAAAAACAAAGCTTGGTTAATTAAAAAAAATAAATAGGGAGGGATGTAAAACAGCAAGGGTTTTCAAGCTGAATTTCCTAGTTCTAAAGTGATTTTGTGAGACAGTCCGGCTCCTTCTCTTCTTTATCTCTGAAGACTCATTTCCTTCTTTCTCACATATGATAAAAATCTTTTGGAAATACTGAATTGGGAAGACTCTGTGTAATTCTTATACTGCACTGAGCGCTGCTGTTTGAGGGCTTTCCAGGAATATATTAAGTGATGTGACTGACCTCTATCATTTTCATTTGATTTGTTTTTTTCCCTCATCTTCTTCTCCAGGGTGAGGAGTGTGTTCAGTGAAGAGTTTTGTTTGGATTTTTTTTTTTCTGCTGTACATAGGTACATTGCAGTGTGCTTTTCTTAGAGACAAAAGGTCAAAGACGTGCATCTTACACTACAACAAAGGTGGTAAATTTTGTGAGAACCCTTCATCCTTGCAGGAATTCATTAACAATTTAGGTGTCTGATCCCCAAGAAATGTCTGCTATGTGTGTAGATGAGCGGTACCCTTCCTATGGGAAGTCCTAGCCCATAGGGGAGAAAGCATGTTCCTGATCTCTATCCCAGAGGTCTCTGTAGTCACCATGGGCTCAGGTCATTGAGCATCATCAAAGTAAAAGCTGCCACTTTTGCTTCTTATCCTCAGCTCAGAATTTGTGCCCACTGCTGCTGATGCAATTAGAAGATAAATCCTGAATGGCTGTCACAGGATCAGAACTGAGAAGTTGCTTGATTGCCAAAAAAGAGAAAAAACCAAAAAACTAATGTGAGATCTAAATTAAACCAAAATTATTATGCGTACCAAGCAAAGGGTTAGATAAATGTGGAAGAAGGGGAGGTTTATTTTATGAACTCTGATTATCTCATGGGAAAAAAGCTTCCATTTGTACTTAGATCAGAACAACTTGAGTTGTAAGGCACACGTTTAATCAAAAAGCTCATCTGATGAAATGCTGTAGGATTTGCTTGTATATCCAAGGAGTTCCCTAGAGATTTAAGGGATGTAACTGAATACAATTAGAAGATCAGCTGTAAACATCATTTGTCATACAGTTTGTTTGCTGTGCTTTGTAAGAGAAGTTCAGTTAACAATAAGTGAATCTGTGGTGGTTTAGAAGATAGTAAAGTATTGAACTGTATTGCAAGAAAAGGATTACCATAGCAGCCTACTAGAGATGCAACTATTCAACTATCTGGGATCTGATGGTCTGTAGAAAGAGAACAGAGAAACTATTAAGCCGAGGTTCACATCCAAGAACGGAATCATTTATGAACAACCTTTCTGGGCCTACTTCATTGCTGAATTAAACCTCATGTAATGTCATTGAAGTCAATGGGGTTATACAGGGCATAAGTCAGTGGAGAAAATTAGCCCTCTGTCTTGAAGCCAAGAAATGAAAGGGAATAGTGATCCAATAAAACAGACATGAAATGTTGATATTAGCTGAATGCCACTGTTCTTGGTACAGTGAGTTCTTTGTGTCCAGTAGTGAATATTTCATCCTTCCCAGGTGTAAAATCTTCCCAGCAGCACTATAAGGCAGATTTATAATAAATGGCAAAATTAATGGTTTAGTTCTGTTGTAATGCAGCTTCTGGGCTCCCAAATGGAACTTAAGCAGTTAGCAGACAATATCTGTGCTGGCTTCAATGTGATCTCCAAATCAAGTCTTGATCTCTTCAGAAAAGCCTTGAGGCTGACCTTTTTTTTCCCTTTAGTCATCTCTAACCCATACATGTGTTAGAAGCTAGCATTTGTGGGTATGGGGAGCTTTCTACATAGAAAACTGACAGAATTTCCAGGAATATCTGTGTAAGACCTGGAGTATACTAGGCACAGTCACTGCCTCAGGTATGAATGTACTAGGAAATATAATGGATTTGTTTGCATTTAATTTGTATATTGGTAATATTAAGGGCTCTAAGAAACCACAGTATTGCAGTGATTGTACATGTGCCTTGGATTAATGAAAAAAAAAATCCATTTTCACTAACCAGCATTCATAATGGTTTCTCAGATTTCACTTTTTCTACTTTCCAACCCACTGATTACTCAAATTGAAATTAAGAGCATCATCTCCCTCAGCCAGAGATTATGGGTTTTGTACCATGCACAAAGAGAGTTCTGTCCTGGCTGGAACACCTAGGTATTTTTATTATCTGTATAAAGAACCAATTCCCAAAGTGTACAGATGGGCTTGCAGCTCATGAAAATATCTCTGTGAGATGACCTGTGCAGAATAATAGATTTCGACAGCATGGCTCACTTTTCACTACAAAGAGACCAAACAACTTGAATTCTTTTGACTTCTTACTGTGTAGATTTCAGTAATGAGCTAAAGGGTGAAAAATGATTTATTATTATTTAGTAGAGAAAACTCTCCAGACCTAGATGTTAAGGAAGTTGTGTAAAGCATGGAACACATGGCTCGGGTTGCTACTCCAGTATCTGTTCTGTTACTTCTAATGTGACTCCTTGGCAATGACAGAACTTGTTCGAGGGACTAGCAGAGGACTCATATGATACCTGGCCTGTTGGATGTGTGATTTTGGCCATTTCTTCCTTTTTGTATTATTTTTTTCAGGTGACACTTCAATAACTGCTTGAGATTTTCATTTTCTTTAAATCCAATTGCTTCTGCTTACAATTCAATTCTGGGCATGCTCTTCAGAGAGGATTGAAAGGAACAAGATACAAATTTTGCAGCTGCCGTGTGAGATGCTGATGTAAACACAGCCAGACCTATCCAAAGTGGAAGATATGTCTTGAGGCTTGAGGACTATTGCAGATATAGGAACAAGTCCCATTAATCCACAGCCATAATTTCAAGTGATAAAATATCACTATAAAGCTGGTTTACAAGTGCACTGAATTTGTCCTTTGTTTAGTTGGCAAGGTTCTGACTTTAAAAAAAGTTCTGCTAGAGAGCCAGGTTTTGTCGGATAACAAATCTGATTTTGACAGAAATCTTTACATTATCAGTGGCTAAAAACCCATTGATCCAACCACTCATTTGCTTTTCTAGTTTTCAATAATTAAAAAGAAGTTTATTAGTTATTGGAAAAATTTTGGTCAATTTTTGGAAGTTTTATTGAAGGATGTGATATTCAAGAAAGATGCAAAATTCTCCTGACTATTTCCAATTAAAATTACTAAACTGTTGTAGAGAATTATGTTTATACCTCATCAAAGACAGTCTGTTGAATTTTGTTTCTGTTTCTGTTGTTGCTTTTCTAAAGCCGTCTCTTGTTTTTCTGTTGTATTTGTCTGACATCTAATACTATTACATTCTGTTTCAGCTGGCAGGCTTCATCTATGCCTGTTATGTTGTGAAGTGTATTACTGAAGAAGAGGACAGCTGTAAGTACTAAAGCTTTATTGCATACAAAATGAATACTTTTTTTTTTTATATTTAAATCACCCCTCCACTATGCTGGCTCCTGCTGACTTCAACCTAAAAGCCAGAACATGTTTTCTGTCCGTCTTTCTTGGTCTAAAATTTGGAAATATCTGAAGGACAAAGGAGTCATGAAATGCTGCTTAAAAATTTAATAAACATACTCCTTCCTTCTGAAAAGATCATTGCAATTCTTTATCTCCCAGTTTAGCTTCAGACATTAAAAAAAAAAAAAAAAGAACAAAAAAATACCAGTTGGTGAATATAAGTTTGGGGTTTTTTCCTTACTTCAGATTGTTATTAACTATCTTCAGAGTAATTGCTTACCACTGAGGTTATAGGTCTCCTGTGTTGACATGTGCGTTGGCCCGTAAAAACACTTCTGGCAAAAAAATAGCTTTAGATCACTGCAGAACCTTCACTTATGAGAGGTGAAACAGTGGAGTTCCTCTTCGTTCTTACTGCTCTCAGGGTACAATTAAGAGGAGTGAAATGATTTCATAGAGATATATGTTCGTGTTTCTTCTGCTTATTTATATCAGTAGAAGCCTGTTGAGCAGAATTTGCTCTTATTGCATGCTATAGAGTCAAGGCATTTCATTTTTTCTCTCTACTCTAACCTTGATTTTTTTTAAATGGGCCACTGCAGCATTTCAGTACATCTTGGGATTCATACTAAAGCACTTTAGAAACAAGTATCAGAACTGCGTGTAACTTGGATAAAATATACATGAATCCTAGAGAGAGCTCTGCAACAGGAAGCTAAAGGGGTTTTATTTGATTGAGAGCACTGCAAGGGCTGGCAGGGGTTTCTTTGTGTGTTCTCCTGCGTGGAAAATAGCTGCAACCCTATAATCTATTGGCAATACAGTGTCACTGTGAATCATCAAGGGGAGATTTAATGCTGAAATCAAACCACCACACTTTGGAGGTCGTTCTGACTATGCTCATTTCAGTTGTTTTTGTGTTTCTGTGGAGGTGAGGAATGTATAAAGAGTAAAAAGGGTTTGAGACAGATATGTGGATCAGGGGTATGTCACAAATAGACTTGTCTGTTTAGGGAAGGACTCTGTCATATGTGCTTTCTCTTGCTTTCCCATTAAGTGCATTCACTATCCACAGGGCTGGAGGAGAGTTATTCCTTGCCACCTGAATTGAAATCCCATTTTATACTATCCTGTCCTCTCTTCTAAGGGCTTATATCTTTTTTCCACTCTTCTGTGATGCTTTAGGGCATGATATAAGTAAAAACCAAGGAAGGGGCTTGATTCTTGGCTCACCAAACAAGTGCAGAAGTCAGAGCACATCTGAGAGGTTTCTCCCACGGTCTGTAAAGCAGCATTCCTGGCAGCAAAGTGCCGCAGCCAATATGGTATTGTTTTCTTCTCACTGTGGCAGGTGCTCCCTACTGTTCCAGAGCCACAGATTGTCATGCTTCTTTGAACCTTTTCTTGCCATCACCTTGACTATTTTGAGGTTTTTATTACTCTGTTAGTAAACCTCGGCTAGGTTTCCTTGTCCAGTCAAAGAGCCATCTTACCCACCTGTGACCATCTCTCTGAGGTACCAGGGTGAACCCCCAGCCAGCACAATAAAGCCAGAACAAGCTCAGGCACTGCAGCTTTCCCCCTGGTGAGGCTTGGAAGCTTGGCTGGCAAAAAAGAGAAAAAGGGAACTTCCGTGACTGAGTTGTGCCAACACTATAATAATGCTCAGATTGGATTTGGCCCCTCAAGGTATCATAAAATTAAAGCCTTAGTTTCTACTGAGAGGTATCATGTTGCAGAGACTAAGAACTATTCTAGTTCTCTCTCTGCTCAGACAAGTGTTCGCTGTGACAGCCAGGGCCTGCAGTCCATACAAACACTCTCCACTCAGGTTTAATTTAAAATTCTTTTATTTCCTTAGATACATTTTCTCTCCTTTTCTATCCCTTCCTTTCCATCCCTTTTGGCAACACGCCCATCTATCATGCTCTTCTTAGAAGATTTTATCCCTTATGGATGTCATGTCATTCAGTACTTTTACTCCAGAGGAAGATGCCTAAGCGTGTCTTTCTCCATACATTCGCAGATGGGGTCATCTCATGCAGACCGAGGGAGTGCTAAGGAGAAAAGCTTTCAGGATAAGTGGAATATGTCCCAGAGCCATTTATTGAGCTTCCTGCATAGGCAAGTCTTTGATCTGAGATTACTTCAGATCCCCTAGCTGTGTTTCTCTTTCCGTAGTCTCTTCTTCCACTTTTCCAGTTCCTCATCCCTGCCTGTTGCTGGGGAGCAAGAGAGATGAAGGAGCCCCCTTGCCCACAGTGTACTCCCTCCTCCAAACTTGCTGAATATCCAGCATAGGAGAAAAAAGCACTGTTACCCACCAGCCCCTGCCAAGCATCCATACCTGGTAAGGGGTTAGGCTGGGCTTGTGCTTCCATTCAGTTTGGCAGCTGGTGTTCCCCCTTTGTCCTGTGTCAGCTGTGAAAGATCCTCTGGTAACAACCAGCCACCAGAAAGCAACTCTGCCACACCATTCCATGCTTTCCCACCACTGAAGTGGTTTGTGAAGGACAACAGAGGGACACTGCCATCTTCTTACCCACCTCTATATTCACAGGAGAAATCTACATCTCTGTTTTTCAGAACCACTCATGTGTGTAAAAATGTGATGCCTCATTGGCAACCACAGAGAACCTCAAGGATAACCATATTGGATCATACTAAAGTGTCACTAAGCCACAAGTGCTTTCTGATGAGACAGAGACAATAGAAAAATCCTTTTGCTTCTCACAATGGACACAGTAAATGCCCATACACTCAATTCCATTTCTTCTGCTTTGGTAAGGGGCCATGGGAACAACAGTAGTCCAAAAGAGGAGAAAAAGACACAGAAACACTGAACTTGGCAGGTGTAAGCAGCAAGGCATAAGACTAGAGAAAAAGCCATGCAAAAGTCAAACGTGGGCACGTTCCAGATTTTAACCAGAGGAAGATATCGACACCGCTCTGGAGTATAGAAGGTGTCTCATCTTCTGTTGGCACAGAGCCTCAACTGTGGAAACGGAGTCAAGTTGCTCTTAAGCTGCTTCAGCTGAATTAGCTTTGCTCTCAAAATAATTGGAACAAGCTGAAAGAATTATTATTTCTCCATTCTTTATGCAGATTTTATTGAGAGAACAAATGAGCGAGGGTAAAATTAAGCAAACATTTCACTAAGATTACCCTGCTCTAACCTCACCAAAGGATTAGGGATGGAACAATACAGTGATCAAACCAGGGTCAGAACTAGGGCTGAAACAGCAAGTCTAGAGGTTTTAATTACTCACACACCAAATAAATCCAGCCTCAGGTCCCCTAAATCAAAGCTCAAGTCTGTGCTATCTTTCAGGAGAACTATCTGCTTTGGGTTAATTCTGCACCAAGGACTAAAGATGAAACTGCTTTCCCTCCTGGTACAGCCCTGGAAGTGCTATAACGTTGGGTCCACCAGAGTCAAACAGCAGCACTTATCTGCAAGGGGAAGACAAGCCATGGATTTTCCATGGCTACTTCTCTCAGAGAAGGTTTGTCACTCCCAAAGGTCCCTTCTGCATAATTTTCCCTGTGGTTGTGTAGGGAGGAGGAACTCTGAGGCTTGGAGTGCCTCAGTTCTTTATCTGGGAAAGAGAGAAGACAGGTGCCCAGCAGGACTGCTGCCAATTCCATATTTTCCCCTTCACCATTGTTACTGGTATGCCTAAGCCGTGGCCAGTCTTACCTCATTAGCATTATTAGTTGCAGCAATTAAAAATGAAACATAAAAATGTCAGGAACAATGATTACTTGGAGGCACTCAATGGCTGTAAACTTATTGGAGCTCCTCATTTGTCTTCCAAAATCATATTAGGCCTGCATTTTTCAAAGGCTGCACGTTATTTTTAATAACATCGAAATTTTCCTTTAATGTGCATTTCCTCACTATCAATTTAGCTCCCTGCTATAAGCTGCTACTGCCTTACTAAAAGAAAATCCAATGTATTTTTGAAAACTTTATTAACTATACAGACATTTGGTGGAAAACACTGCAATGTAAGCAATAAAACAGCATTCTCCCAGGGCTTTTTGTCTGTAAGAAATTAAGAAAGAAACCTAGGTTACTGAAGTGGGAATTCTGCACTTGCCTTGCAGGTTCCATTGAGGGAAAGGGGACTGGATTGTCTACTAGAGGGACAGCTTTGAATGGAAAGGAACCCCAGCCAAGAGAATATCACCAATTCAGTCTCTTTCCCACAGTGAAATCCTAATTCAGAAGGCTCCCTTGCCAACCCAGAGAGGCAGCAGAAATAGCATTTACCGACTATAACACAATGGCAAGGCAATCAGAGAACAAATATGGCCCTTCTGACTGTTCCCCACATACCAGGAGGTACAACCTTTGCACTATCTCATGCTAGCAGGGATCCAACTTGCACATACATTATCTTCTTTTCTCCTGGCCTTGTTTCCTGTTAAATTGCAAAGCCAAAGAAATCGCAACTGGATTAAGCAGATTTTTGCTACATAGTGCCTTGAGCCCACCCTTTTGGGATGTCTGGCACAGAAGTAAAGGTCTAGATAACCTGTGAAATTATTTCACTCTTCCCCCCTCCCTCGTAAAAACTTGAATTCAAGATCCCACCTGAATTCCTGAAAATGTTGAGGATGACTGTAATACCCTAATAGGAAATACCTAATGGTGAGCAATACAGTATTATGTGCAGTTATGTGCCAACAAACTCGGTGTCAAACAATAATTCACTCTGGGATCCTAGGCCTGACCTGGGAAGTATGAAGGTGATGACAGAGACTTTTTCAAAAAGACAATATTAAATACATTAGGTGTGAGAGATGTGAAATTTTGTCAAACATTTTCTTTTTATCTCTGTTACAGTCAGTAACAGAGCAGGCTATTTAACCTCTCTATACTTCCGTTTCCCATATTTAAAATGAGAAAT